TGTGACTCACGAGGATGAGAGCATCAAGCTATTGCCGGAGAAAAAAAGGAGGAAGAAGATGTAAGGACATCGCTATGGCAGTGAAGTTGACATATTTCAATGACACCTTTTTTCTTAAGGGAAATGGTCAGTGTATAGGTCAATTTAGCCGAATGACATCCTTTGTCACAATTATAGCACCAAAGGATGTATTTCTCAAGGACCAAAGTATGGGCTACTAAAACTGGTAAAAGATCGAATTCTCTGAAAATCTTATACACCCCGTTATAACCTACGGCAAATAGCCCCTTTAAACAATCCCAAAAACGATCTGTTTTTCAACTTTTCATCGCTAACCGCAATTGGTCAATCGGATATTAGCAGCGAAGATATTGAGAAGGCACCACACTACTAAGTCAACATTTTACCTATTGAAATATAGGTGGGCAAGCCAAGAATGATAACGAATGTGTTAGCGTGTATTATCATTGCAGTTAAGCGCGGTCGGAGCATTTAGAGCTGCAGCTTGAGCTTGGAGCTTAACTGAATGGATGACAACGAAGTCTGGTGGTTTTAGATTTGCATCGTGACCATAGTAAGCTTAGTACATGTCTTCTATTTTTATTATTGTATATGCTTTCAGATTAATACATGGCAGAAAATACTACAACACGTTTTGCAATCATTATACTGACGCCTTTTTCGGCAGCAATAAAATATTACTAAAGTAATAGCACCGGCAAACGTTACTTGGCAAACGAAAATTCTATTTATTGGTGTTAGAGTACTTTAGTTCTTGGAACAGCGCGACCTTTGGAACGGCAACAATCTGGATAAATGACGGATAGATTACCGATAGATGCTCCAATTCTTAGCTCCAGTGGAATAACGAAGGGTTGCGTTGTTCCAGTGGAAAATATTTTTGGACCAAAGGGAAATGACTCTTAGACGGATTTTGATTGACGGTCGAGGGATCGTACTTAATTGAATTAATGGGTACTTGGCTTTGATTAACATGAATTGTTGAGATGCATCTACATGTATGTAGCCCTAGCTGGAAGTGCTCGACTGCCGCACCCTCTTTGGTGCGCGCAGTTCATTAACAATCGTACGCCAGAGGAGCTGTCCACGACGGCGTTTCCTCCCCTTTGATATCGTAGTTGGGAGCTGAACAGTGCTGCTGCGTTCTTTGAACACTTCTTCTGCTTCACAGATGGTCAAATTTGCATACTTCAGTCCCAACTCAGCAGCTCGTTTCTCAATGGCTCTGTTCAAGTAGGCAAAGTCACTTAGCCTCTTCTTGGCATTCTTACTGGCGAGCTGACAGGTTTCGCCGAGCCGAAGTGGGGGAATATGCGTACCAGGTGAGCCACACTGCCAAAGCATCCACGCTTGATATATTGTGCACTCTGGAATAGTAAAAGACGAGGGTATGCTATTGAACCGCCCAGTCCATTGCTGCAAATTCACACGCTGCTCGCTGGATAATGAAGCTTGTTCGCCAGGTTGTTCAACCTGTTGAAGACGATTAACCATCGCTGTTACTCCGGCTACCTCATGATCATGTCGTTTAGGCCATTATAAGTGACAGTGCCAGCATCAACAGCTCTGCGCTCCGGTTCGTTAACTATATCTTGCACAATAGCCGTCCGTGTGAAATCCATTTTCTTTACTGCTTGTAAGATGCTCTGCTATAAGGACGCCATGTTGGAGAGGATAGCAACATAAAGAGGGACGCCAGTTGGTCTGAGCGTACTCTCATGATGAGGTTGTAGCGTCCCTCCTTGTAGACGATCCGCCAGCTTATTAAGCATTGTGTTCGTGGTGAACAGCGGGGTGCAGAACAGGCCGTGTGAGGCTGGAAGCGTTTTCTTCAGATATTCGCGGTGGTAATCTAACGATGCCAACGCGTACTCGAGGATATAATGATTGCTGCCCGGGTACCCCGGAAACGCGATGGATATTGCCTGCTCAACTTGATCATCACAGGAACTAAAATGCGGAGGCAAGCATGCAAATGTATGCGAATCTGTTGGTAGTCCGGTCACCGTTCTTCCAACGTGCATATCTCCTGCAGCCTCGTATCGTAAGTATGTGTTCTGAACTCCTCCCAGCGACCAACCGGCTAGCAGGTTCACTGTCGTTGACGAGGGACATGCAGTTGAACCAGACGAAGCGAAAGTGGCCGCCCCTTTGCGAAGGGAGTGGGTGCTGCCAATTTCATCCGGTTTTACCGCTCTTCTCTTATGTTCATTCGAAACATCGTCCTGGTTGAATGTGCGCCCCAATTGCTTGCGAAAACGATCGTATTGGCTTCCCCCAGGAAAAAGGCGGCCATTGCCTTGATCAAATGTGAGCATACTCCAGTAAACACCTAACGCGAGAATTGGACTAACCGTAGGCTCCAGTGGATTGGCATACACGTGCTGCGGATCCCGTGGTCTGTCTCCAGCTTGATCATTCTTCATGTGCGAAAGCATACACACAAAGCATAATCTCTCCATTCCATGTGCTCCATCATAATTCCGAAAGCATTAGCGACCGGCGCATTAAGTTTCAAGCGATGATCGTATACGTGCGTGCAAATACCATATCCATCAAAGTATCAGCCAGCATGACAGAGCAAAGAAACTTATAGAGATCGAAAGGCAGTGCATCTTTGCCAATCTTCATGGGTTGTCCTGTTCCAGCCGCGGTTTCCGCTGCGATAGTTTTCTTAAGACCCGTGAGTCCCTGCTCCAGTGTCATTGACATTCGCTCTTTGTATACTCGAAAGAGGTTGAAGCGACCAG